TTTCCGATTAATGCCCGCCAACAAGGAACAATGGGGCGGCCCTCCGTCGGAGGGCATCTAACAAGTTGGCGGACCGACTGAGCCAGGCGTTAGAACTGGAACAAGGAAGGACGACCATGTACTATTTGAGCGCGGGGGCTGTATTTAACCCAAAAGGCGCTCCTCGGCTTGGGGGAGGCATTTTACACATCCATTTGGTCTTGTTAGATAGTGCGTCACACCTGTAGACCGTTACCAAGTGTAGACTAAGCTTGCTATTGCATAGCTTCACCAGAATTCGCAGGTCTCCGCAAGTGCTACCGGTGGTGGTGATAGATGAGAACAGCAAAATGTCCCTACCAAGCCGACTTGTTACTTACACACCGTACCACTTTTGCCCTCTGTGAATGAATTTACTGTAAATGAGCCGTAAAGCGACGAGTAATGACGTCGTTGAGTCCTTCTGGTTTAGATGGTGACGCATTCAAACGATCTAACACCCATCTGAATGAAACTGACGAGAAAGAGCTCATCGAAAAGATCGACTATGTTCCTGAAATCATAGAAGAGGACAAGGTAGCAGGCGAGTACTCTTATTTTCAGGCATAATTTTAATTGTTCTAGATTCTTTCTCTACCCCTCATTTTGTCCATTACTTCAGGAGCTGTCTCTTGGAGAATTTATGGCGCTTATATACAGGCTATGTGTTCAAATATGCTTCTTATTCCACCGCTTCTTTTCGTAGTGTTTGCTGTACAGATACTTTATAACTTAACTGATTGGTGGTTGAACAGATGGTAAGTAAAACTCGCATGTGTTTACTTCTCAGTGATGGTCACTTTGTAACATTTAACGTCTTCCCTATATACGGTGTGCACTTACCTGCAAGATGGATGCTCGCCATGCGCGAAGTGGCTAGGCCCCTTGCTGCAAAGTTGTGCCTTTTCCAATGTTCTGGTCGTGCGGCGCATTGAGTGCGCGTGCTTTGCCTGTGGGTGGAGTCCGGAAGGGCATCTGGGTATCACTACCCCCTAACATAACCCGCACCCTCCGCCCATCCTCATTTCAGTGGACTTTCGAGTGATGAAATCGACGCAGTTTTACAGAGGCACACCCGTTCGTTTCGCAGATTACAAAGATCAAGATCCGCGAAAGTGAGCGTACATCATATCTTCAACTTATAGCAGATTTGTGCATCCAGTACCGGTTGTTTGGATGCACTTCAGGCGAGATACTGGCGAAGCCGAAGTAGAAGGACAGTTCCGGCATCTGTAGATGCTGCTCCAGCCGTCTTCTAGACGCGCGTTCCTTCATTACCTTCCCCTCGCGTTCGTCCACTGCGCTCCTCGCTTGATGAAACCAACAGCTTCCCGTCTTTGATGGATCGAGATAAGGTGCCCTAAAATCCTCACAAGTCCCCCGAGCTGAAAGACAATTCCCGCGATCAAGTGGTCCGCGAAATGCCTCCGTGCATTTGGCATCGTTGTCCGCATTCGCAGAGAATATACCACTTTCGTCACTCGAAACGGCGAGATAAAGAAGCTAGAGACGCGTGATTATTGCAACCATTGCAACCACGATTACTTTCACTCTGCAAGACAACGGCTTACAAGCGGAATTGCGTGTGTACATAGCGTTGCCTGGAACGTCGTAGGGTGATTTCCTGCGCTCTTGCCGGGAATTCGGTTGCACGTCGACTCTTGCTGATCGAGCTTGCCAACTCCGACAAACTCGCAAGGCGCCGGCCCCACTGCTAAGGAGGTCTCTGTTCAGAGTGCTCCTATAGGGTTTTTTTGGTTTCCCCCTCTACTGGGGAGTTGATTATAGGCTACTGGTTCATGATTGAGCTTCTAATAGCCGTATGATTGCGGGAATTGTCTTTAAAGGATACCTAGCGCATACAACAGTGCATATCGCAGTAATATGGATGTTGCGAAAAACTGCTTGCGAGTCTAGTGGCAACGGAGGGGACACCGGTCGTCAGAGAAGTTTGGTGTAAAAAAGGTCGCATACATTGGTGTCGTTGGGTCGGTTACTGTATCTCTCCCACCTTCCCTGCCCTCGCCCTTCCTCTCTCCCTTACTTCACCACCAAGGAACAACTGCTTGAGCCTTATTGGCGCTGAGTTCTTTTCCCGACAATGGATAGGATATTATCTTCAGCACTGAATCACTAAATAAGTAAACTGATGAATAATGTTGTCACAAAAGGTTATCTCTTTTCAGGACAAATGCTTCTGAACGCGCAGAGGCAGCTAGGCTAAGCAACAGTACCATCGCTGAAGATCACTATTCATTTTTCGGTCTAGAATTCAATGTAAGCCTCCCAGACTACATGTACTTTCCACGTGCCCTAACCCTTGCCTCTTGTCGTGGAATCGGTTTTGCTGAAGCGTAAGATTTTCAATGCTTCTGTTTCAAATCTCTTCTCTTCACTGCGTTTTTGTGCAGTATTTCTAAGACTTCACTGTGGCACGTGTTATACTTTGGCGACCAGGCACACACTGGTTGGGATTTTGGTCGTGTCCGATACACCGCCCCTCCCCTCTGAATTTGACGTTGATGGACACCCTGCCCCCTCCCTCCCATCTTACAGATTTTCCCAACATCCTACCAGTTTTGCGGAATTTCCCAAAAATTTTCCTAGTTTTTCCCAAAAATTTTGCACTACATATGAAACAGGAAGAAGCGATAATCAGAAACAATCCTGTCAGAAGGCCCAGAAGGCAAATGCGACCCCTCCCCTGCTGGGGAATCTCCAGCGATCATGTGCCCTGTTGGCGACCGCACATAGTCATGATATCTATAAACGACTGGGCATTGAGCGTGTTAAGTTGGTATCAAGTTTGGCCTGATGTGTTAAGATCCCACTCTTTCGCGTTCCTATAACTTTTTGTGTATTCTTATTTGCCTCTCACTGATGTGGTGCTCAGTGCTACTAGTGAAGTACAGAACAGGAACCTCAAAACTTCCATGAGATTGGCTCTTTGTACATTCTGTGGGACACCCATTTTTCTCGGGCTTGCTATAGATGTTGATTGAATGAACATGGGGGGGGGGAGGCAGGTCACAGGGTATAATTTATTTTCAGTCCACACGCTTGTGAAGGACCGTGCCTAAATTTCTATTCAGTAGTTGAAAGAACAGTGCGGGATAACAGAGCGGGAGCAGTCGACGTCAAATATGAAACAGGAGGTGCCATGCGTACGATCCTTGACGAAAATCGCAAAGGAACCCGTCTGAAAATGCCTCGAGTGGGTCTGTGGAGTTACTATAGTGGAGTAGTTACCATAGTGTAAGCATGTGACGAGGTGTGTTCGGATGAGTATTCCCTTGTGGAAGGCAAGGACCCTGTCGCCGTCGGTGGAGGGCATCCTAGGTCGCAAGGCGCTTGCACGCTTTTCACACACTTTCACGGGACGAAAACGGGAATCCTAGGGCATGTAATCCTCCCAGACCACGTCGCACGTTGGGGAATCCCCAGCGGGGAAGCTCGCATTTGGTCGGAGAAATTTTTTTTATTGTCGATTCTCTTGTTTCAGGGACGATACAGAGAGGAGGGGGTCGTATTCGCCTTTTTTTCCAACGCCGCGAATTTCTATTGGCGGCGCTGGGGAAAAACTTTTCCCGCTTGCGCGGTTTTTCCCGTTTGACATGTGCCGTGTACTTCCCCCCCCCCCCGCTCCACAGCGAAATTGGGGGAAACTAGGAAATTTTCGGCGGATCCCGGAAGAATGGAGGTTGGAAAAATCTAGGAAAGTGGTGGAATGGGGGAGTGTATCATATCAAAGGAGGAAAAGGGGAGGGTTGTATTCTCCAAGAATTTTCCCCAGCGGCAGGCGGCCTCATGGGACGCGAATGTTCTATTTCATGGTACGCTCCGCATTTTCCTGATGTTCCGACGCGCTCTTTAGATAAGGTAGTCCTTTCAGCATGCATAAAAGACGTACACATTTCGCAGCTGTGAATATGTGAATGACGTGATACCTCGCCCAATGCCCAACGCAACGCCCAACTTTCATTTCTAGCGGCTGCTCACTGATTCTTTTAGTCCGTTACTAACTCTCATTGTTCAGAATTGTGGGATTGAGGTGTTTAGAGGAAAGGCAGCGTTCATACTTCGCGACAGCAGCGGCGATCGCGGCGACCTCGGCGATCGCCGCGATCGTCGGTACGTGGCAGAGCGCGCCCCAACGCTATTATGGACCGCTCGCTTGATAAATAAGGGAATCCAACTTGTGAGACCTTCTTTTCTCTTAATTAATGGCTACTAACTGATAACCTACGACTTTCTATACATAAGCGGATCTGGAATATGAGGTAAGGTTTGTCACTTTCTTTTTAAGTCGGGACAAGGCCAACGCCTCATTTCCCTGGGTGAGCTTCTTTTTTTTTTTGTTTTTATTGTTTCAATTTATACAAGCGCCTTGAAAGTTCCTATCGTCTGAACTGTTCCAACTTCCAAAACATTTATAGTTTACAAGTCGAGTTCAAACAACGAAGAAAAAAAAAAACAGAAAGAAACTCACCTAGGAACCAAAACACTGATCATTTTACGCAACCTCACGGGTGAAACTTTATAACCTCATGTATAAGCTCGACGAATGAAAAAAGAAACAATAAAAACCTACCCTAAATGAAGCTCTCACGCTTTTTGCTCATTTCTATCCTGAATCAAGAAAGAAAATAGAAAACAAAAGCCATCAAGTTGGGTTCACCTTTCTTTGTGTCAAACCAAGCTTCAGTACCCAAGAAAATTGCAGTTAAAGGAAAAAAAGCATGAAATTGAGTAGCCTCTCATCAAAAGCCTTCGGAGCGATCCAAGTAATAGCGTTAGGGGCGCGCTCTGCCATGTACCGACGGTCGCGGCGAACGCCGCTGCTGCCGCGAAGTATGAATCGTGTGCAGAATGAGCTTGGAGCAGCTTTATGGCTATCTAAGAAAAGGCGACTTTTGGCTGAGCTGACTCAGTTCTCTTCGCCTTATGGCACGTACGAGCTCTGATTCGGTATGGGGTTCTTCTTATTCAATCATTTCGGAGCGATTTGTTTACGAGATTTTTTTGACTGCTAATCAGCTATTTCTTGCCATTACTATTTTTGACCCGCAAAGTCGCTATTTTTGAACGAGGAGTGTGTCTTTGAAACACTGGTCGTTTCAATGGTGATGGCGGTATGATTCAGATGTGTTTGGTTCCGTTTCTCTCAAACAGTGGCATCTACTCTTCTACATGAACGAATGTTCTTCAGCTGTTGTAAATACCAAGATCTCCTTTTTTGACAAAAATCCAATCGGTAGGTTTCTCTTTCTTACTCACTCTATCTGGCAGCTGGGGCCTTTACTGCCCCCGATCATAACGCGAAATCGAACCAGTTTTTTGACTCGGCTTTTTCTCGAGGGCGAAGCTTGGCTTGCTAAGAAGCTGTACTTTCGGGCAGTTTGACCTTTTGTACACGATTCACTTTCGCTCGGCTCGAGAGCCACGGGCGTCAGCGCAAAAACACCCTAAGTCACCAAATTCGCTGAAAACTTGTTCCCAAGGGTTGTTTGACCCTTTGAACACAAGTATCACTTCAGTTAGTCTGAGAACGCGTGACGCCTACCTCACAAGCGACTCATCACTTGTTGCACCGCGTGTAGCTTGGAACTCCAGTAAGTTCCATGATGAGCAGATCCTAGCTTGGGACTCCTCCAGCTGGGTTCATGATGAGCAGTTGCTAGGGCAGTCAGTGAGACGATGAGAAACGCCAGCACCCTTTTTGACTGCCTGTGATACTGATAGTTCCCTTTACTAAGGCTCAACCTTAGCACAGGAAGGGTCATTATCTCGTGCAAGAGTGCAGACGAGCAGAAGCAGGCTGCGCTATCAGGTGTACACCCTTTACTCCATTTTTGACTTCCTTAACACCTCGTGCAGATATGATATCCGTGTTCGGGTGATTAAACTGCCCCAAGGACAGGTTTTCTGCAACTTTGGTAACTGAGGATATTTTGGCGTCGGTGACTGTGGCACGGGCGCCAGGCGAATTCGAGCCAAGCAGATGCGATACTCGTGTTTAGGGGTTAAATCACGCGAATTCGTAATTGGGATACTTTGACGCCAGCGCCAAGAAGTTTCGAGCCAAGCGGTAGTGATATTCGTGTTCAGTACGTCAAACTACTCCAGGGTACAGCTATTTTAGCCAAGTCTGGCCTTGGGAAAAAAGTCGCTCAAAAGGTGGCCTGGTATCATAAAAGTGGGGCAACAAAGGATTAACAGTGCCGTATCTTCGAGTTTCTCCACACATTCTCGATATCGTCGTTTTTCAGGACGTATATTGAATCGTTTCTCGAAAGATGTGGGTACAATGGATGACCAATTATCATTTGTATTTTTCGAATTTCTCATGGTTAGTCTAGCATAAACTTTATTTTGGGACGATATAATCACCTGGTTTTCTTAGGGTGCCCTGAACTTCTTTGGAATTGTTTTTGTAATTCTT